CTCTCACATGGCTCATGAGATACTTTACAGCGTTTAGACAGATGTTACTAGTATTCCTTTTTGTACAAGTATAACCTTAACGGATAGAAACTCTGGTTTATTCGGTACAGATAGGGACTTAGCCCTGGAGTTCCGGCTCAGAGAGGTATGATCACAGTCTAGGGGCATGTACTGATCAGACATATTTTGACATTCGACCGGCCGGTCTAACTTGAAAATTTTGACTCAAACCATAGCTCTGATACCACTAAATGTAACCCCCACAGACCGATAAGGGTAACCAAATCCGATCCGGGGTGTCACATTAGGGCCACCGGAGCGACCCACTGTAAAAATAGCAGAAAATTTAAAACTTTTTATCAGAACATGCAAACTTATAAAATCATTTGTCGCTATTTAAAAATAAAATAGATTTTCAGACTCATATATAAATCAAAATACAATTACATGCCCCTAATCACATGTACCATACTCTGCAACAAAGCTGAAAGAACTCCCTTACTGAAGTCGATAGATGCACTGGTACAATTCTTTTAACCTGAAAAGGTGAGTAATAGAGTGAGCTTTGGAAAGCTCAGTAATACAAAACTACCAGATGATGCTGAAGAACGTGCAAATATAGATAAATATACATTTCCTTATTGGTTCAGATATTTACAGATTTTTATACTGAGCAGGGATCCTACTGATATTTCAGGTGCTAACGAACAATGAGCTTTCAGTTCAGATAAATAATTTCGGATGACTGAGTTCAGGAGATCAGAATAGGTTATATAGTGTGTTCCCGCAAAACCTGTGAAAAGATGCATATCTTTTCTTTTAAAACAGTGGCAATTTAAAACATGTTTTTATTCAAAAACCATATTAATCCATCCAACCAAACACACCATAATGTGTAGGTTCCCCAGAACCATACACCACCAACACACCAAGTAAGGCCCTGAGCACAAAGCAGAGGAGCCTGCAGTAACGGTAACGATAACTTCCTCCAACAACACTCTCCCATAAAACATTTATAAAAACCATAGTAATCCCTCCAACCGAACGCACCATAATGTGTAGGTTTCCCAGAACCATACACCCACCAACACACCATAATGTGTAGGTTCCCCAGAACCATACACCCACCAACACACCAAGTAAGGCCCCGAGCATAAAGCCGAGGAACCTGCATATATAGTAACCTCCAACCAAACCACCAAATAAAACATGTTCCGTCCGTAAACGGATATATCAAAAATCAAAACATAATTCATGTCAAGTATCATATCAAAATCCAAGTCAAGTACCAGATCAGAATCCATGTCAGATATCATATCAGAATCCATGTCAAGTATCAGATCAGAATTCAAATCGAAAATCAGATAAAATATTCATGTGGGTATGGAACACACCAGAGTTTATATATATTATTCATAAGTACAGAATAATCTTATCAGGCAGAGAAACACCGATCTTCAATATACCGATAGAATGTTGGGATTTATAATCACTATTGGAAGAGTTCAATAACTGATGGAATCATAAGTTATTCAGATTGAGACTTATCGAGATCATATCTTATTCATACATTTTTTTGAAAGCTCTACATAATCAAAAGGGTATTCAGAATCCTTTACATCTGAGCTACTTATATTTTCAGATATAACCTAACTAATTTGAGCTGGTAAGGGAGAACAACGATTCAGAAATTTTACAATCTTTGTCGATTGATCAGATTAATGAGTTACTCGATATGAATAATTCCCATAACTAATGCTCATCGACTGGTCAATTCTTTGTCCTTCCAGGGTATTTATTTTTTTTACCTAACATTCTTATCCATAGATATTCCAATGCTCTTTATTTCATTTTCACGCTTCCACAGTATCATGAAATGCTGACGTGCTTGATTTATAGTTCAAGACCCATAAAAAAACATTTCATTATGTATGTTCGTTAACGTTTCCAGACTCATCCAAATCACTTATTTAATCATCAATCATTGAGGTTACTTATTTCATTTAACAGTCAAGTCTATCACGGTTACTTAAGAGTTTTCCAAAGTAAATCAGACATTTTCTGAATTTTGGATACATATTGTACTTTCGTTCAGTTCAGTATTCGTGGTTGATTTGTCGAACAAATATCCAATTCTTAGTACTGAATATGATCTAGAGTTGAGTTGAGTTGAATACTTCCAAATTTATCATCGAGCCAAACTTGAAAAGACGAACACACATTCCAGTAATATCTATGTTGTTCAGGTATTGACATAGCTTTAGGGTTGATCTACTCACTTAAGTTTTGTTCCATAACTTTTAAAGGTAATCCAACACCTATGCTTATTTGGATTCCTTAATTAATCCAAGACATTTACTTAATATAGGCCATAAGGGTATTTTGGTAATTTTGGTGTTCAATTTTATTCCATTCATTTCAGACCTCGAGGATATCCAATCATTCTTAAGCTTGGTGGTATTCTTGGGTCATTTCTATTACAGGGGTATTTTGGTCATTGTATTGATTCAGTGTACTTTAATCATTTCCTTCCGTCTAATCTTATTATTTAATTCAATATTATCATTTACTTCAGTCCTTTCGAACAATTCTAACAGCAGAATACCCCCGATAAATTACTCTTCAAGTATTTACTCATTATTTGAATATTTTCGGGTCAAGTGTCTTCTCATATTTTACAAACGGAATATCATAAATTTTTCTGTACAAAGACAGGATCTTAACAATTAAATTCGTACTTAATCGAGTTAAGTACAAATCCTCAAAGTACTTTCTCATTCAGGGTCAATTCAGACTATTTTATCTCTCAAGGGCATTTTCGTAATTTCTTAACCAGATAATTTCGATATTAGCTCTTAACGAAAATAATATAATATAGAGATCCTATGATTAATTGCTTCCTCGAACATTCTTTGATCTTGAAATGATTCCTTAAAAGACTTCTAGTATCTAGCATAAACCTTCTTGGGGTTAAAAACCGGTTATCCATAATTTCCAAGTAAAACTAATATTTCTTATGTACATCAACAGTTTTAGTAGATCAATAATTCTTTTCAGATTTATTAATCCACTTCCAGAGACAATTCTTGTCATTTTCCAACTTAAGGGTATTTTCGTAATTTTACCCTACCGGAGTATTATCATAATTTCCCATCCAAGTACCTTTAACATTTAATCTTTGATGAAATAAACTATAAGTTACAAACCCATGTTGATTTCTTTATCACTAAGCACAGAACTTGTAATTTAATTCTAACAATCCCTCAATTTCTTATAGAAATCATCTGAACCATAATCAAGTACTGAACCCTTTTACCGTATTCAGATCGAGTGTAGAAACTAATTAACTACACAAATGAGACCAACATTATCTTAATCATGCATTTACCAATATTCACATGTTCCATAAAGCATAAAGAGGTAGTAAAGTATTACCTCGATTTCCGTGCAATACTGATTGACCATAAAAATTCCATTCGAACGCCTTTGATCTTCAATTCAACTTCCAATAATTCCTCAGATACATATCAACATAAATTATATCAGAAACGGAGCTTAATTACGATAAACTGATCGAATCGGGTGATATATCAGTGAATGATAGCTTACCAGGTTCGAATTTGGTGAAACGGACTTCGGATTCGGATTCAGGACGTCGAAAGCATAAAATATGACTTTTCAGAAATTTGGAATTTTTGGTCAAAATCGAAGTCAACGGGTTTGACCGGCTATTTCGAGGCCTTCGGGTTCGAATTTCGAAAAACGGACAGCGGAATCGGATTTGGAACGTCGAAAAATGTCAGGATAGGTATACTCGGTCGAAGTCAAAGGTCGTTTAATGCCCGGTCAAAGCCGGTCAAAGTTTTGGTCAACATTGGTCAACGCCGGTCAATGGGTCAACGGTCAACGGGTCGGGTCGGGTCAACGGGTCGGGTCAGGTTAACGGGTTGGGTAAACGAGTCGGGTCAGGTTATGACCGGTCAAACCGGTCAACTATTCACTAAAACCGGTCAAACCGGTCATTTGTCTATCCCCACTCGCAGTGGCGGCGCGTGGGCGCACGTGGGCACTGTTACGGCAGCGTAAAATTCACATAAAAATTTCTAAAAATTATTTTGAGCGATTTCGAGATACTTACAAAGCTCGGTTCACAATTTTGAACGGCGGAGAGCTCGATTTTGAAACGTCGGAAACTTTGACCGCTTCACCTCCACACGCTCCGCTGTCGCCGGAGAAAAAGGAGAACACCGGTGGACTCGGAACGGCACTAGGAACACGATGGTGCGGGAGGTGTCGTAAACGGATCATCGGATCGTCGTGAATCGATGAAAAACCAACTAAAACTGAGTTATTACCGACGATACTTCCGACTGAAATTAATGACGAACGGAGATGATTCACGACGTAAGGTTTGAAGGGTTTTGTTCCTCGCTCGACAACGAACATGATGGTGGTTTCGGCTCGTCGATCGGAGGTCGAACGGCGAGTAGATCGGAGTTGAAAGAGGGGTTGATGAAAAGGAAAATCTGGAAATATTTTTTTCCAGAAACATACGGGGATGGGGGTATATATCATCTCCTAAATAAAAATGGTTAAACCAAGAGTTTAGACACTGAACTTCCTGTACTTTTTAAAATGGTCTTCCAACTTTAAAACTTTACAATTTAATCCCCAATGTTTCTTTCAAAATATCAATTAAATCCGCCACTTTATAATTTCTTAATTTTAGCCCCTAAATTGGGGTGTTACACTGCAACAAATCGTAAAGAAAATAATAAGCATTTATAAGATAAATTATGATGAACATAATTAAAACAACCATAATTTAGATCCTATTCATTGTTCCCGATATTTATGGACTATTTATAGAATGTTTATGAGTGAAGCCGAATCATGTTTTTGATTAAATCAATGAAGCCCAAGTTGAATATTAACACTTTTCCACTCATAACTCAATCAAAACCAGAAACAACATTTGTACAGTAATACTTTTGACAGCCTAATGATCAGATAATTGTAGCCTGATAATTTTAAGTCTACATTATGTTTTAATTCAGAAAAAAGGATATCATCATCTCAATGGCTCTGACTCACATATTAATTCGAGGCTCAGAAGAATCGCTTGATGATTTTCAAATCTCCAGATGGGAATAAAACAATCCCTCATGAAATAGGTAGGATTCACCATCACAGCCTTCAATCATTGAAAACCAACAAAATACTAAGTCAAAGCTTCAAAAATTCATCGCTTAAAAGAGAATACAATAAAAGGATAAATAAAGCATTCACGGCGTAAATCTCAAATCCTATCTAGTAAGTGAGAAGAAAAGAATAAAAGGATAAAAAGAAGTAATATTCATCAATATGCTGCCATCTCCTATTGTTATTCTTCACAAGTCATTATCCATCATTGCACTACTCGTGCGCGCTAATGAATCAATATGCCCCACTAATACACGGTGATGCCAGAAAAATTGCCAGTGACAACAACGACGATAATCCTATTGAAGATCGTCTAATACGAAAAAAATATGGGACATAATCGACGATGACCATGTTGTGGAACCGGTTCCCATAAAGGTCATTGAGAGTAAGAGGATTTTTTTCGCTTTCATTGTAAATATTGATTTCAACGGTTCTAATATAAAAAAAGCAATCAAATTTCTATTTATATAACTTAAACATTTCAAGCATTTATCAAACAAAAGTGTAGATACTTATGAAGATAATTAATTTATTATCAATTATTTTACAACTTAAGATTTAAAATATTAATTATTTAAATATAAATTACATAAACACAAAGTATTTAAATAAATTAAAATTATAAGATAAGTAAATTCATTCAAATACCAAAAAATAAAAATAATACTTGAATATCAATTTATTTAAATTAAAATAATATAAATTAATTTAAAAATAGTAAATAAGTGTTTAAACGAAAGGTGAGGATTGCTTTCCTCTTTACACAATCAGAATACAAAATTATGTCACGTCTTGCTAATTGGGACAAAAGCATGCTTAACTGAACGTATATTTATCTTACGTAATTAAAATTTTTCATTTTTATAAATAATATTTTCAATATTATATAAATATTTAAAATATAAATAAAATATCATTCCTTAAAGTAATCAAATTTAGGTTGAATATGATCTACGATATCTAAAATACGGCTAAAAATAATATGATCAGTTCTATCAGATATTGATTATTAATTTAAAATATTATAAAAATATAAAGCATTTTAGGTTGGTGCAACAATAAATGTTTCAAATTATATAACATTTTATATTGCAACTGAAAATATTACCCAACATATGACATTTTAAGTTGTAAACTGGAAATGTTATCAAACATATAATAGTTTAGGTTGAATATATTTCACGAGAAGTATCAAAAATTTTACTCTGAATTAAGTATCATTTTCAACCTAAAATGTTACTAATATATATATATATATGGATGGTTTGGTAAGTATCGAAACTCAGAGTCAAAGTTTTGATACATGTTGTGAAATATATTCAATCTGAGAAGATAAAAAATTTATGTAGGAATCTAAATTGAAACCTGAAATGTTACCGGTATCAATGTATGTTTGACAATGTTACAACATAAAATACCTTCAATATTAAGTTAAAACCAATTTAAAAATTTAGATAACATTTTAAGTTACAATAAAAAAATAAAATGATAACAAATCACTTCTGAATTATCAACCGAATATATTAAAAATTTATAAATTTAATAATATATTCGGTTATACTAACCGAAAAACTATTCACTTAAGAATGTTTTAATTAATATTAAATTAATTTTAAATTAAACCGCTACATTTTATACTCACCCCAAATTTACTTATTTATCTTAATAAATATTCATGGTCACGTTGATTCATTTTGATAATTATGTTTGACATATAACTGCGGAAGGCTGAACTGTCGCTGTTGAATTCCTTTATAGAAAAATTGATTTACATGTCCTACCCCATTTTTGTTTGACACATTTATCCATGTTCAGAGACGGTTATGTAAAAAATTTGGGAATCTGCTTTCCATGAATAATTAATTAATTTCATAATTTTCCTACGTCATTACTTTTGTCATATATAATATTATTTAAAGGATAAATTATTGGGTTCTTCTAATATATATATCAAATCATAACATAAAAGCAATCCCCCTCCTAGATTATAATTTTTTTAATAGTATAGAGGGATTATAATTTAGAATTTATTTATATTTTTTAATTATTAATAATAGATATGTATTTTATAAATATAATTGTTAGAATCTAAAATTTTAAGAGAGACTAATACTTTCTCTAACCATTGAAATATATTTAATTTTTTTTATATAAATTAAGATTTGAACGGGCACAAAATAATATAATATAAGTATCTTTAATCAGTGGATGGATTATTGCTTTTGCCTTAAAAATAAAATCTTTAATTTATTAGTTAATGTTTGGGAAACAAAATATTTTAGGTATTGTTGTTTTCTTTTATTTTTTTTCATTATATATATATGAGTAACATTTTGTGTGTAGTTTCATGTTTATATTTTGGTTGGTTTTTGTATTATAATTGTATTTAAAATATTACATATTAATTTAAATAAAATTTATATTTTATAATTTATTTTAATAAATTTTGATATATTTTAAATTTTATTGTGTTGTATGCATATCATAGTATATTTACTTTCATTTCATAATTGAATGTATAGGTTTAAATTAACATTATAAGTATTTTAAAAGTTCTTTAATGAAATAAGGAATAGAAAATAAATTTATTCTGTTTATGTTATTTTTTATGTTTAAAGTATTAAATTTACAAATTTTTACATGTTAATAACTTGTTTTATGTATGATTAACATATTTACGTAATATATGTAATTTTTATAATTTTTTCTTACATTTTATGTTCATATTATGCAATATATGTATGAATGATTTTTTTATTAACTTAAGATGATTATAAATGTAGTATACATTTGAAAATGAACGTTCAATCGCTTTGCTGTAGCCGTTGATGTTCAAATTCATAACTTTTGGAAACAACAATTATTTCTTTATCTACTGAAATCAATAATTTGATTTAGAGAAGATTTGTCTATTCACATCATAGTTATGACGTATCTATTCTTATAGTTTGTATTTATTTATGTTTCAAAAAAATTGTATTTTTTACGTTTGAAGTATTATACATTTATATAATATATTATACGGAATTATTATATTGTTTTTTATGTGTTCAATTGTTCATATATTTATTATGTCATGTTACTATTAATTTTCATGTCACGTTATCTTTTTAATTATTTTAACGTTGTATTTATATTTTAGTTGATTTAATATTTTATATTTATTAATTCAGTTTTAATCTTAGTTTTATTTACTTAAAATTATATCATTACATTTATTACACATGAATTAATTTTTATTATTTTTAAATTCTTTTGTCTAAATTAGTAATTCTTGTAATAAAAGACGTAAATAATGGTCTGTTATTACAATAATGACCGTCATATAGTAATAGCAATACCGTTCAAAATTATTATTATCGAAAAATAATGATGCGAAAGGAAATCATACCAATAATAGTGGATTATAACGGATGACATCCAAAATTACTAATAACAAATCATTATTCTTGTTATTGTTCTGTTACGATAATTTTTTAAAAATAATTTAACAGTCCTTTGCGGTAATTAAAATTATGAAAATTATTATTATGTTTTACTATAATTACATACACATTTTAAAATTTTGACAATTAAGATATCTAAAATATATAAAATTTAAAGTTTTTGAGGAACGATTACCCTCACTCGTTCATTTCGATTAGTCCTTGATAATAATCAAAATAACACCTATCATATTCGTAATTATAATAAAACTAAAAATATAATCGCGACCACAATTTAAATATACGTTATCATACCACTTCAAAGATATAACCACCATTGCATAAAATGAGTTCTTATTTCCATGTGAAGCGATTCTTTGGCCGAGTGGCACGCCGAACCTTGCGAGTACATGGGTTTATCATGTGAGAGTTTGAATCTCTCGAGGCCTCATTTGTGTTTTTAACTTTATTTTTCCCGAAAGTTTCGAAAATAGTCTCTCCGAGTGGGATAAATAATTCATGCAATAATCTAATAGGTAAACTACACATTTAGTGCCTAAATTATCAATTTTTTCATTTTAATATCTAAACTTTTATTTATTTTAAAACAATATCTAATGTTACTTCTTATTTCGTTTTAGCACATCACCCTTAAAAACATAACGAGTGAGTTGTACCTGACGCATTTTTTATGAGTAAATTACTCCTAATTTAATCACTCTAATTTTCAAATTTAATTTTTATTTTAATTAAATATTAATAAAAGTCATGTCACAAAATTTATTAATAAAATAAATTAGAGTGATTAAAATAAGATTAATTTGAAAGTTGAGTAGTAAAATGAAAAAAACTTAAATTTTAGTGACCATGGGTGAGAAGATAGTTGAGTGATAAATAATATAATTTACTCATTAAAATGTAGTGGTTAAGTTTTTAATAGCAGAATAATAAAATGAAACGAAAAATAGATCTTAGGTATGATTTATAAAACAAATGAGAATTTAGATACTGAAACTAAACAAAACTGATAGTTTAAGTACTAAATATATAATTAATCCTAATTTAATAAATGGTTCAACCGAAAACTTGCCTAATTCTAAAAAATTCTCACCTATTAAAAATATATGGTCATGTTTTAAAAAAAAATCAATTGTTTACAAATGTATTAAATTATCACTTACGATATAAGTAAACGAAAATATTTAATATAAAAAACTAAGATTCACTCAATAAAATTCTATTAAACAGATGTTTAAATTAAAGAAGTGGTAAATAATTTACATATAAATCCAATTAAAAATGTTTAAATTCTTAAATAATAAAATTCAAAAAAATCTCAAATAATAAGTTTTAATTATTTTATTTGAAAACTATAGATATCATTTAAAGTAAGAGCATTTTAGTTCTATTAAGAAAAAGAACATTTAAGTTATTTCACAATTGGAATAAAATTTGATCAATCTATAACATCAACTCAATTAAAAAAATATTAACAATTTATATTTATGAAGCATATAGAGAAATTATTAAAATAAGTTACAAATAGTCCTATGAATATTAAAAGTTATAA